TGGTAGATTTCAATGGCAATGTTTGTCACCTCCACTAACTAACATGATGTAAATTTTTATGCTTCCTCCTCAAATATAATTAATTTTTAAAACTGTGTTGTGTGTGTATGTGTGTGTATTGCACAGAACATCCCAAACCATCTTATTCATCACTTCCCAGATGGCACCCTCCCATAGCCTCCCTCCCCTAACTAGAGCCCTTATACTCTATTATCCCTGCTACTGTTCGCTGTGTTATTGGCACCCCAGCCATTCCCCACTACTTCTCCATCTGGTGAATCTAGTCAGCCTATCTAGAGGTCTTTGTTTTAGGAAGGTCAGCTGTTCCTCATCAACCAGTTGTCAATATTCCTTTGGATAAGATTGGGGTCTGCTGTTCACTTTCCCAGTTCTATGCTGGATTACTATCTGGGTGTCCGTTGGGCCACTCTGGCCTCAAAAGAAGGTATCTCCTATCTGGCATTGTTGCTTGTTATGTAGCCTTTAGCCATACATATGGACTCTTAAATTATATTGGACCCTTTAATCTTTGGTTATACTTTCCTTTTGGGTGTTTAAGGCCATACATTTGGCCCAGATAAACTAATTTATTTTTACTCTTAAGGTCATTTGAGGAGCTGCTCCTCAGGGGTCACATGGGCTTGGGAGGAACCCCTGGCTCCTTTCTTTTACCAGTTCCATCTATGTGAAGATAAGTCAAAGATCCTGCTCAACCATGGTTGGCTTCACTTGGAAGCATGGAGGAAGTGATTCCCCTGTGTTGGCCCTCCTCTTTGTAGACTGGACACTGGTTCAAGTCCATCTGGTAGGGTCTCATTGGCCTCCTTGATCAAGAGGACAGGTGACCCACCACAATTACAGGACATTTTGAGAGATGCTCATAGTCCCCTGGAACTAGTCAACCTAGGAGGGCAAGGAGCAAAAACTGTCCTTTATGTTCCTCTGACCAAATTAGCAAAGGCTTCAAAGTATGTCTGTTAAACATCCAAGAAGGTTAGTTCCACCAGTCTGGTACTTTTAATTACTGTGTGCCGTGTAGATAAATCTTGGGCAAAGACCAATTGTTCTCAGATAAACCTTGCCTAGACATATATTTCTTGATCTGGATGAGAGACCAAAGGTGTTGCTTCTTTCCTCACTTAGAGAGCAGAAAAGGAAGACTGTTTGGTTTTTTAACGAGGCTATGCTGTTGAATCTTCCTTCACCAAAGGGAAGCAATTTAGTGGAGACGTTTACCCAGTAACCAGGTGCCAGTTTCATAGCATGACTGTATAAAGCATAAATTTAATAGTATGGTGAGAAATATCATTAATATGATTTTATTATTGCACATAATTTTCTAAATTAAGTTCCAGTTACTTGGTAGTTCAGAAAAAAATACTGACTATACAGCAATATACAACTTAAACTAGACAATCTACTTGCAGTTTAGAATACAATTTTAAAAAACAGACATGACCAGCTGTCGTCTCACACTACCCCATGAATTCAAATCTCTATACTAGTACACAGGAAAATATTCCTTTGAGGAAAAGTGTATTATTTGCACACCTCCACCATGGGTAGGAAAAGCCATAAAAAAGAAAGTCATAACAAATACACCAATAATCCAGGTGGAATTAATACAATTTATAAATGATGCATATTATATTTCCTGTATCTCCTCCAATTCTTGGTTCACAAATACCCATCTCAAAGTGAACCTGCCCAGAAGGCTTCCTTCCTACCACAGCTGAAAGCTCTCTTTCTGCTTTAAACGTGGAGAATGTATCACTTAAGTATCTTCTGGAACTTATTGCTGTAGCATCTTCTATGATTTTTATTGGTTTAATATTTTTTAATCTTTTTCTTCCACAGAGCATTTGCACAACTCTTGCTTCACTCGTCACTCATGTAGGGACACATAGACTATCAGCTCTGCAAGGCCAGTCTTCCTTCCATCTTCCCTTTACACTGGTTGCACAACAGCTGACTTTAGTGTCCTTCTAGAAGAAATGCATGCCACTGCTCATTGGAATAAAGCTGTACACGCCTAGAACCGGATGTTCTGGTAACTGTGTCACTTCCCTGCCTAAAACATTCTGTAGCTTCTCACTGTGCTCACAACACAAATCCCTTACCCTTCCCTTCATGGTCTATGCTGTGTGGTCTGTCTCCTGTGTTCCTTTCCAACCTGTTCTCTGCCACTTTGAGTGCCCCCCGCTGTGCTCTAGTCTGATCAGCTGACAGTTTTCTTCTCTACATGGCCAGGGTAGTCCTACCTCAGGATTGTTCGCCTGTGCTCTGCCTGCAACACTGTCTTCCAAATGTTCACATTCTATGGGGTTCCTCCTTGCCTTTATTGATCTCAACCCTTCAAAGGTCACCTTCTAGCAGAGGCCTCCTCTTATCACCCAACTAAATCCCACTTTTTACCTTCTGCCTCTTAACCTACTTAATTTCCTTCCAAGCACACTTATCCTTAAGTCGTTATGCTAGCTATTCAATTGTTCATCTTTTAGAAGTGTGGCAAATTTGTCTTCTCCACCCCTCCGTATCACAGTGCTTGGAATGGTGTCTGGCCATGGAAGCATCTCTGTCATTATTTGTTGATTAAATTAATAACCAAAGAATGAACATCAGAGTTGTTCTAAGCACCAAACCCAATTAACTTACTAGAATAACAAAATCAGTAGGAATTAGAAACCTAACACAATTATGTGTTCTAAGTTGTTTCCCATGACAGCTCTTGACTTGTTTACAGCTTATGCTAAACAGGTTGTAGCTGCTCTTTCTTAAAATATCAGTCATCTTAGCCAATAGCCAAAATCATGCTGATAGTGTTAAAGGAAAAATTGTGCTACATGCCAAGGAATTTAATATTCAAGTTCGAGAACCAAATATTTCTAATCTTTTCTTCAGAGAACATTTTAAAAAATCTCTAACAGTGACATTACAGTTGACTCCAAATGACAATATTGGCCTCAGTTCTGTTGAGAGGTAGGTTCCTAGGCATCTCTTTAGGATTAGATTTCTTGGAAGAAAAACTGAGGTTGTAAATGATCATGCTGTAAATGGTCTACATTATCTATCTTCTTTCTTCAGCTGTTTCTCATGCCACAAAATAGAACATACATTAACCCCACTTAGAGGTTATATTGTTTAATTATGTGTACTTTCAGATCTATTACTCTGAATTTTGAAACTTTCAATTTCCTTATTTTCATACTTGGTTTTCATTATGTCTGAAAAGACCACACAAGGTAATATAAATGTATCATTCTTCCTGGAGATGCGGCTTTGGCATTCACCTTACATGTGTGATTGATCCATAAGGCAGCTGTGACTGATAAGGTTAGGAAGATAGAGGATCTTTGAGGAAAGAGAATAAAACTTCACCACTCATCTTAAAAAGCAAAATTTGAGTAACTGACTCAAAATAGATTGTGCTCACTCTCATAATGACAGTGGCTTGTACTTACCTTGCTCTATCATCTTCACATCTTTACACCATAGACATAGAAATAAAGTTGCAGGGGATGGAGAGATGGCTCAGCACTGGCTGCTGTGGCAGAAGGCCCAGGTTAGATACCCAGCACCAGCATGTTGGCTAAGAGCCATCTGTAACTTCTGTAATATCTGACCTCTGCAGATGTTACACAACACAGGTGTACTTGCATACATTCAGGCAAAACAGTCATATACATAAAATAAAAATAAATAAAGAAGTGTTTTGTTTTTGGTCTTTTTGAAGCAGGGTCTCCCTGTAAGCCCCAGCTGTCCTGGAACTCACTATGTAGACCAGGCTGGCCTTGAACTCACAGAGATCCGCCTGCCTCTGCCTCCCAAGTGCTAGGACTAAAGGCGTGTGCCACCACGCCCAGCAAGAAATGTTCCTTAAAAAGCACCACATGGGTGTACTTACCTACTGGCAGGCAATACACTCGCATACATAAAACAAAAATAATACATGAAAATATTTTTAAAAAGAAGTAAAGTTGCACATATTTACAAAATGGCTACACGGGTTATCTCATAAGGAAAAAAATACTTGATCTTTCAGAAAAACTCAACATACATAGAAGTACCCCTACCTGTCTTTAAATAGTGTTTCATTAATCCCCTTCCTTCGAAGAAGATCTCGTGGCCCATAGGGTGTGTCTTTGCATTTAGAGTCTGTGTCACAGAGGAGGGTTTGTAAAAATGGGAAGAATCCAGCACTTGGAAGGTTTCGTGGTGCGAGGTAGCCTGGAATTAAAAAATAGTAATTACATCACTATGACACACATACATGGAAAGGGAAGAAAGTGTAATAATAACTCAATTTCATGAAATTACCTTTCAGATAAGACCATATGGGATCTCCAAATTGGCCCCACTTCTGCAAATATCATTGGCCATGGAGTAAGGGCAGGCCTGGGGGTGTTTTATTTAACTTGATTTTATTAGGTTTGCTAAAATGAATCAAAGGACTTTAAAATGTCTGTTGCCATATGGACTCTTCTTTTTAGATTTATTTCAAGGAAATCCTTAAAGGTAGTTTCAAGAACATTTTCTAGGCTGTTCTAAAAATAAATCAGTACTAGGCTGGAGAGATGGCTCAGTGGTTAAGAACATTGGGTGTTCTTGCAGAAGACCAGCCCCCAAATGGCGGCTAACAACTCTCCATAACTCCACGGTATCTGACACCCTCTTCTGTCCTCTGCAGGCACTGCACGACACAGGTGCACTTACATACATGCAGGCATTATAGTCAAAACACATAAAATAAAAATAAAAAATTTAAAAACCACTATTTCCATATGATAAAGCATCATGTAGCCACTGAGAAAATCAATTAACATGGAAAATGTTTATGATGTATTGCTAAAAGAAATAGATTAGAAAAAAATTAAGTAATATGAACAGAATATTCCTAATCTTTTAAAAACACACAATCACTTACATATTAAAAACCTGAAAGATCAGACAAAAAAAGTTTGATGACTTTAAAATTGTTTGATACATTTCGAAAACATGAATTTCCTTTAGTTCTTAGTGACTACATATTACCTTTTTCCCCTATGCTTACTTTTAAAAAAGATTTATTTTTATTATTTTTAATTATGTGTATGTCTGTATGAATGTGCACATAAGTGCAGGTGTCCTTGAAGGTCAGAGGTCTTGGATCTCCTGGAACTGGAGTAATTGGAAGTTCTGAGCTGTCTGACACTAATGCTGGGAATCAAACTTGGATTTTCTGCCAGAGCAGTAAACACTCTTGACCACTGAACCATCCCTCCAACCCTATGTCTACTTTTATAATCAAAATGAATATAGATGCAGACACTGATAAATATTTTAGTCTCTTCAAATTTTAACAATTAATTATCTTATCTATGCAACTTTTTTCTTTTCTCCTGTCCAAAAAAATATAGTAGTAAACTATCATCAGAGAAAACAGAAAGCCTACACAATGGTAGAAAAGTCTTTGTTGCTATGTCTCGATAGTGGGTTAATATCTAAAATATAAAAAGAACTGCAAAAAATTAAATACCAAAAGCATAAAACTGCTCACCAACAAATGAAATGAACAGACACTTTTCAAAAGAAGAAACACAGATGGCCAAAAATTGGTTTTTTAGTGTTCTATACCCTTTAGCCAGCAGAGAAATGTAGATTAAACACACTCTGGGATTCTCTCACACCCTAGACAAAATGACTATGGTCAAGAAAACAAATGACAAGTGCTGGAGGGGATGTACACAAAGAAGACCATCAATCCACTGCTGGGGAAATGAAAACCAGTTGTAACCACTATAGAAATCCGTATGGGGGTGGTCTTCAAATTTTAGAAATAGAACTACTATATGACCCAGCTACACCACGCCTGGCTGTTATACCCAAAAGACTCTCTATCCTACCACAGAGATGCTTCCACATTCATGTTTATTGCTGCTCTGTTCACAATAGCTAAGAGACAAAGCCAGCCTAGACTGCCACCAACAGATGAATGGGGAATGAAACTGTAGCATACATACACAAAGGAATTTCATTCAGTGTAAGAAAAATGAAATTTGCAGGAAAATGGATGGAATTGGAAAGTATTATATTAAATAAGTTGATCCTGTCTCAGGAAGACAAAAAGTGCATGTTCTGACTCATATGTGGATCCTAACTTTAAATTTGTATGTATGTATGCTGTGAAAGTGGGTGTAGACTATTAAAGTAGATAGGAAACTCAGAGGGGAACAAAGGGTGCTGAGAAGGAGGAGGGGTGAAAAGTTACTGCAACATGAAGACAGAGAGGAGGTACCACCGGGAGAAAGACCAAGGGAAGGAGTGGGGCAGAGAAACAATAACAACAAAATTTGTTTAAAATGCCATAAGAAAACCTAATTATATGTTATCGAATAAAATTTAAACAATACTAAGTGACATGAATGAATATGCAGATTTCCCCAAAAATCATTCATGAAAAGCAAGAACTGCAATGGTGACAGTTTTACTTTAACCAGCGCTCTATAAAATGTGACGGCTGACAAGGTGATTGCCAAGCTATGGGAAATAAGTCATTTCACAATTAAGTTTGTTATTAAAACATTAGCATCTTTTCTGCAAGAGACCATGCAGACAACGAACAAGCAAACAGACAAACAGGTTTCAAAACTATAAGGGACTCTCAAACTGAAGACTGACAAAGAAAGCCTTAATTTCCTCAGCGCTGGTCTGTTTTCATTTTAAAGAGAAAGAAACAAATTTAACGGGAACAACAAAACTACATATCAATGTGTGAGCAAAGACTGTGAGGCATGGAAACATCATTCAGAAAGAGAGAAGTGGAAATAAAAGGAAAGGGCCACAGGAACGTTGGCCAGGAGAGTCATGAGAAAAAAAAAAAAAAAATGGAGAGACTTTGGAGAAAGCTGTCCTGTTGGTGGACTGAGGAGCCACTAGCCCAGGAATATGGGTAGCCTATAGGAGTTATAAAAGACAAGAAGGCGAATTCTCCCACAGACAGTCCAGAAGACACACAATTCACTCACACCTTGAATCTGAGTACATGAAAATTCAGTTCTGGCTTCTGACCTCCAAAACTGTTAAGTAATAAACTCTGTTATTTTTAAGTCACTCGGTCTGTGGTAATTTATTATAGCACATGAAAGAAAATAATATAAACACTAATATCAGTAGTTTTGAAAGCTCTGAAAACTCAGAAGAGATTAGACTATCCACTAATACTATTTTAAGACGCCCCAGTTTCCAACACCAGAAAGACTCCTAATATTAAACTCAAATAAAAACTGCAGTGAACCAACAATTTTCATGTCTCTTCCTTCAGTAAGCCACCCAGAGAACCTGCTAGAAGGGGACTAATCAAATTGCCTTTTTAGGCTTTTGTCTCATCCTTCTATAGCAAACTTCTGCCACAGTCAACTTCATACAGCAAGACCTTTATACTCTGTAGCACAAGTTCACTAGTAAGGGTCATCTGCCCTGTTCCATAGATCCCAGCTGTGGGTGCTCACTCAGCACACAGATCTACCAATGAGCTGGTTTCTACTTTATTGCAAACACAGAAAGGCTGATTTGAAAACAGAGGGAGAGAGAAGGGCAGCAGAAACACCACCAGACAACCCCTCTTCTCTGTGCCACTTATCAGCGTGGTGGTGTGGCTGAGAAGCAAAGACAAGTGATGTCACAACCAGAAGAGAGGGCTGCAAGGAACAATGTCAAGGGAAGAAGTACCACTTTGCATCCAATGTTACCTTTCGTGGAGTTGATTTCAATTTGAAAATCACTTGAGAGGAATTTGAAGGAATTTAAACCTACAACATTCTTTGATGCAAAAAAAGGATAAGCTTATTTTTGTAAGAAAATTCATCCCAGGTTTTCTTTAAAAGTAAGCTCCCAGAGTATGGAAAGCACAGATGGCAATACTGTACATGATTTCTGATGACTGGTATGTAAGCTGTCCTAATGGGGCTGTGCAAACGAAGATTCAGCTATAACCAAGTGCCAGGTACAGTGTGTGCTGCCTATGTTATTTACTTTACCTCATCCTTTCAAAACTTTTGTTTTGTTTTGTTTTGTTTTGTTTTTTGAGGCAGGAACTCCCTGTAGCCCCAGTTGACCTAGAACTCACTATGTAGACCAGGCTGGCCTACATCTCACAGTATTGGGATTAAAGGCATTTGCCACCATGCCTGACTTAAAACATTTTTTTTAAAAAGATTTATTTTGTTTTTATTTGTGTGTGTGTGTGTGTGTGTGTGTGTGTGTGTGTGTGTGTGTTTAGCTGTCTGTCTATTATGTATGTGTGGGAGTGGGTGCTCAGAGAGTCCAGAACAGGGCATTGAATTCCCTGGAGCTGGACTTACAGGTGGTTGTGAGCCACTCAACATGGATGCTAGGAACTGAACTCAGGTCCACTGCAAGAGTAGCAAGATCTCTTAACCATTTAACTTTAACAGCTGTGCACCTATCAAGGTGAAGAAGCTGCTGTAACAGTCCTGTATCCCGTGTACTATTGTAGGCATGTAGCATGTTTATATCACCCATCTTTCACTGACATCCATTTCTTTTCTCATGCACACTAACTTTTCACAAAACATGAAAATTCTCTACAACTAACAAATAAGAATCAGAAGGAATTAAGCTTTGCTGTCACTTTCTTGTGAAAAGAAAATGGATTTTTCAGTCTTGTACCCTTCTCAATGATGTGTACAAGGAAGTAACCACCCAGAGAAGTTGTAATAAAACTGTCATGTTTTAAAAAGCTGCTAATTTTAACTTGAACCTATTCTATTCTGAAAGTATCTCAGTTGTGTTCAAGTTCTAAAATAATGTTTTCTTTTATATTCTCCAATTTAGGATGAAGGAAAAACAGAAATATTTCATTACCCTTAACAAAACTTCCAAGAATTACACATAGAGACAAAAATTATCCTCACAATTGAATGCCCATGTTCTCAACCAGAGCTCATGTTTAAGGAAACAGGAAGATCATTACTTTGTGAACTAAACCACAGCAAAACCCACAGGCAAACAGATCTCAGGGTCTCAAGATGTTAGGCAGGATAAAATCCTTGGTACCATGATACCCAAAGATCTTACACCCAGGACAATATCCATGCCCATCTCTGGGGGAAAAAAGAACCTACTGTAGGTCAAATTGACCAGGCTCCAACATAGTCTGGAAGTGGAATGGAAACAGTGGTAATTAAAATCCCAAGGGCCAGTATCTTAAGTTTCCAAACAGTTCCATG